ATAGATATAGAGGGAGCTTTTGATAAAACAACTTTCTCTGGTATTAACGAAGCCTTGTTAGAGCATAATGTTCCACCGACTCTTTGTGGTTGGATTGAGAACACTCTTAAACATAGGATAGTTAAGCTTAGGGCTGGCGATGTCAGTCTTCAAGGAGGAGTTACTCGAGGCTGTCCACAAGGGGGTGTACTATCCCCACTTTTGTGGAACCTCACCCTGGATAGCCTCTTGAACCGCCTCGCCGAAGCCAACTTTATCACAGTTGGTTACGCAGATGATTTAACCATTCTCGTCAAAGGCAAGTATATAAACGTGCTGTTTGACAGGATGCAAGTAGCTCTCAAACTGATAGAGACTTGGTGTGACGAACAAAGACTCTCTGTGAATCCTAAGAAGACAGAGTTGATTCTTTTCACACGGATAAGGAAGGTTGGCAAGCCCAGAATGCCAACCCTTGCTAATACTCCATTGGCATTGTCAAAAGAAGTTAAATATCTGGGCATCACGCTTGACAATAAAATGACATGGAGAGCCCACCTAGATAATAGAGTTAAAAAAGCGTACGTTGCATTCGGTCAATGCCGGAGGGCTATAGGTAAGACATGGGGTTTGTCACCCAAAAATGCCCTCTGGATTTACACGGCTGTAATCCGACCTATGCTTACATATGGTGCAGTAGTATGGTGGTCAAAGACCCTACAGTCTACATCTACTGCTGCACTTATTAAAGTACAGAGACTTGCGTGTTTGTATGTTACAGGTGCGCTGCGGACTACCCCCTCTGCAGCCATGGAAAACATGTTAAACCTAACGCCACTTCATTTGTTCATCCAAGAGGTGGCATTGGTGACCATGATTCGACTGCGAGCAGCAGGAATTCTAAGAATCGGTGGGTGAGAGAAACAGTAAAAATGCCAATCTCTGGAACGAAATGGTGGAATACATACTCACCAATTCTGGATTGTGTAACGGACATTACACCCCTACAACACATTCAAAGAGACGGGAAGGAGCTGGAGCCCGAGTCTTCTCGTACGATCTCCGACTCCACGTATCTGAACCTCTAGGTAAAAGTACCACCGTCATACAGGCGGAATTAATCGCTACACAACTTGCCGCTGACGTTATTGTCAGATCCAACTTGGTAGGTAAGACTTTTACAATTTATACTGACAGTAGACAAGCTATTTTGGCCTTGAGTAGAATAACAATTACTTCAGGACTTGTTATGGGTTGTCATCTGACATTGGAGAAGGCCGCAGTGCATAACTGTGTTATACTTCAATAGATAAAAGGACACTCGACTTGTTCAGGTAACAAGCACGCTGACAGGCTTGCCAAAAGGGCTGCCAAGCGAGCGCCATGTTCGCCTGAACCGATAATCGCTCCGTCCTTATCAACTCAGATTGAGATAATTAAAGATTTTACCCACAAAAAGGTATGAACTGGTGGGATAGGGTTAAGGGCTGCCATCTGTCTAAGGAAGTATTACATTATCCTTCAGCAGAGGCAGCCTTGTCTTTCGTAAGGCTCTACGAACTGTAACGGGACTCGTCACGGATCACTGTAAGGTAAACAAGCATCTTTATAACCTTAAGCTTGCTGTTAGTCCTCTCTGTCGCCTCTGTAAAGAGAACGAGGAGACGGTCCGACACATCTTGTGTGAATGCTCCACTCTGCAAGACCTCAGAATGAGAGACTTCGGAGAGGAATGGCCGACCACAGATGGCATCAGGAACACACCTCTGAGCTGTATCATAGCCTTCGGAAATTCCTTAGGCTGGTTGATGTAGCTGGAGAGAGTGTAGGAGGACGTACAAGGGGCCCGTTGAGGCCTAGGTGCTGTATGCGGAAGCATACCCTCCGCTTTCCTACATACATACAACACAAAGTTGTATTTTTTTATAAATACAAACTAAAGTAGATTATGGTGTTACTGAAAAGAGCATATTTTTAGCTTTCCAATGATGTATTGCACGCAACTCTTTTTCGGATGCTATTTCTTTGATGCCATTTAGATATTAGTGTATATATATATATAGGTGACGTCCTTTGAGGTCGGGGCTAATTGATCGTCTCTTTTCTTATTATGACTCTATCTCACTCATCTACATTTACTCTCTTTTTGAGAATAAATAGTGCGTGATGTAACCCAACATACACAGTTGCCGATTTTATACATAATATGATTAGCAATCTGGAGTAGTATAATCAATGATATTAAGTTGTAGTGAGCAGTTTCAGATTCAACTTAAATGTTTAATATATGTAACCATTTTTAGAAATATGTACAAAGTGTTGCATGCTTGCGCATTTTGTATAGAACTGTTTTGCTATTATTTGAATACATGTTGATACAAAAAGATGTAAAAAGTATTTTCGAACATTAGAACAAACTGTTTCCAAATAATACTTATTTCAAAACGTAGGAATTCGTAAAAAAGACGACCAGGATTCTGTTCTCCGAAATGATCGGATATGATCAATATGAGAAAAAAGCTTTATGGTGCTATACATGCTATACAGGCTGTCCCTAAAATTTGTTTGCTCAGAATTTTTTTGTTCGCTCGTAACCCTACATTTATTTTTGTACTTTTTAATAGAAAATTTATTTTAGAAACTTTTATCACTCTTTGAAAATTTTGATAACATTGATCGTTTTCGAGTTATACGCGAAAATATTAAGCTTCGATTTCAATGGTAACACTAAAAAACAAAGTCTTCGAAAAAGTCAAGGTTGGCCATGGCAATTAAAAAAAACAACTTGCTGTCAACTTGCTTATGTCGTTTAAACACAAACGATAGTTCTGTTAGTTAGTTATTATTAATTTTAAGTGTTCAAAATGGAGAGTTACACATTTAGTGAACAAACTGACATGATTTTGACATTAGGGCAATGTCAATGCATATTGCAGTCGCAGTGGGCAATTGGCCAGTCTGCGCATTTGGCATATTGCCAAATAATGCAGCACAAAATCCAAATTGATGATCAGTTTTTAGAAAAAGTACTTTTTACAGATGAATCCACTTTTTCTAAAGATGGAATCATCACTTTGAGAAATTTACATAGTTGGGCAGACGAAAATCCAAGATTTAAGAAAACTTGGAAATCACAATGGAGATTTTCTCATAACGTTTGGGCTGGCATTGTGGGCGATGTAATTATTGGACCCGTTTTCTTACCATCAAGGCTGGATGGACATACATACAGGCGACATTTAGAGGAATTAGATGATTTTTTAGATGACGGTCCTTTAAACACAAGGCAAGCAATGTGGTATATGCATAATGGTGCTTAGCACACAAGCTGTCCAAGAATTTCTGAGGGAACGTTTTCCGGGGCGGTGGATTGGACTAGGAGTAGGTGCACCGATAAGTTGGCCCCCCGATCGCCGGATCTTACACCTGTAGATTTTTATTTATGGCGACGCGTTAAATTGGTAATTTACTGCGTTTAAATCAGTTGATCAAAAACGAGTTGATCAACTGAGGTTGCGAATTGTTGATTCATTTGATCAACTTCGAACTGAGATCGATGTTCTCCGCAGAGTGCGCTTTAATTTAAGACGGCGATATCAGGCGTGCATTGATGCCGGCGGGAGTGTTTTTGAACATCTGCTTTAATATTTTTTTGTTCTTTCTTATTTATTACTATTTGTTTATAATTTTATTGTTCTTGTTAATATTTTTGTTAGAATTTGTGTTATTTTCTTGTTTGTTGTAACCGTGGAAATTACATTCTTTCATTCAACTAAAATAAATTAACACTGGATTTAACTAAGTCTGCACTTAGAAATGTATGCAAATAATGGTTATTAGCTCAGTTCGTTTTTGAATTGTCATCGCCAATTCAGATCTTGCGGAATATGTTTCCTTTTTTTGTTTGTTACGATTGAAATCAAAGCTTAACATTTTCGCGTATAACTCGAAAACGGTAAATGTTATAAAAATTTTCAAAGAGTGATAATAGTTTCTAAAATAAATTTTCTATTAAAAAGTACAAAAATAAATGTAGGGTTTCGAGCGAACAAAAAAGTTCTGAGCAAACAAATTTTAGGGACACCCTGTATAGCATGGTTGCCGCCGCCCGATCAAAGTTAAAATTGGTTCAATGATTTTGCTTGATATTTGTTTATGCTGTACCAAATTTCAACGCTCTACCATAAATGGTATTGAAAATATTAAAGAAAAATGTGTTAAAATTTCTAAACTTTGATGGCCCATATCTTAGCCATTTGAAGACTTTTATAATAATTTTTTTTCACGAATCGTCATCATTTTTGCTCTAGTATATGAGGTTAATTTTATGCCCCGAGTCACCGAAACACCCTGTAGATAGTAGTACTTTAAGCAGGGCGAAGAAGATGCTGTTCTTAATAACTTCAAAAAGGAAGTTTGAACCGATGAGAAGAATAATGTAATTATTCTAATTAAATAAATATATTTATTTTTAAGTCAAAAATTGGTTTGTTTATCCAAAAACGAAAATAACTTTTAATTGACAACAAAATTGAAATACAGCGTATAAAAAATTACTTGTAATTGGTTTTAATCAATTTTTAACACAGAGTATTTAAAGTATTTCATTATATTTCAATGATGTTCAACATCCAGACGTCGTTATTTTTGGTTTATTTGCCATTAATAATTGCAGATTACAACGAAACTTTAAAAGATATCTTATCAAACACCTATTTAAATACAGTAAGTTGTACATTTGTAAAAATAAATTGATAACCCCAAAAATTAGTTGCAGATCATAAAAAAATATAATTACCCATTAGAACGTCATTGGGTAACAACTGAGGATGGTTACATAGTTGAATTACAAAGAATTCCTTACAGCATCAATAAAAACACGGTACAAAATCGTCCAGCGATTTTATTTTTTCATGGAAACACCGGAAGTGCCCGCGAATTTATTGTAACCGGCCGAAAAAGTATGGGATTAGTTTTAAGCGATGAAGGTTACGACATTTGGTTGGCAAACGCAAGAGGTACATCGTGGTCGCGAAGACATCGTTATCTCAATCCAAATTATAAACAATTTTGGATGTTTAGTTTTCACGAATTCGGAGTTTACGACTTAACGGCCGAAATTAATTACATTGTAAACGTTACAAAACAGGATAAAATCTTTTTTATCGGCCACTCTCAAGGTGGAACCGCATTTTGCGTTATGGGAAGTGAAAGGCCGGAAATGAACGAAAAAATCCGCCTGGCGATCCTCGTAGCTCCCAACGTTTATAATACTCATCAAAAAAATTCGTTTTTGAGGACTTTGGTCGATAATATTGGGTTACTTAAAGATATTGTTTATTCTATAGGGCTTTATGAAATTCCGTTTAATTTGCAATTGGGAAAGTTTTTTTCGCAGTTGTGTGTGAGCCGATTAAAATTTCTTTGTTCTATTTATATCAATACGGTTATGGGGTTTGATAAGGACCAAATGGATCATGTAAATTTTGTATTATTTATTTTTTTTTTTAATTTATAATCAATTCTTTTTAGGAGTTATTTACCTGGGAGTTTTTCTTTTAAAACGTTTGAGCATTATGCCCAAATTATACAAACAAGTGAGGATTTTTAATAATTAATTTTTTTATTTAAATTATATTTTTTTAAGAAATATTTAAACAATTTGATTATGGATCGGAGGGAAATTTGAAATATTATGGGACGATCACCCCACCTCTATATAACATTAAAAATATCACCGCGCCAGTTGCATTAATGTATGGCAGAAATGATGCGTTTGTAGATGTGGAGGATATTGAAGATTTAAGTAAAGATCTTCCAAATGTCGCATTTAAATTTAAAGTACCTTATGAAATGTGGAACCACGTTGATTATCTCTTTGCTAAAAATGCCACTGAACTGATTTACACAAAAATGGTTGAATGGATGAAACAATATTAGAAGACTTAATTGATAAAAATAACAAGGTTTTTATCTTAATTAATAACAGTAATTAATTCATTATTTATAATTAAAGCAAATTACCGATATAAAACAAGTTTAATTTTATAGTTTATAAGAAAAAAGATCAGTTGATTGGATAATTTTCACAAATTAACATGTTTTTTAATAAAATTTTCGTTACTTTAACAATTTTTATTTTTACTTTATGTAGAATTTATGCAGACGAAATTTTAGCTGATATACTTAAAAATGATGGTTTAAACATAGTAAGTAATCACTTTTATATTTTTTTATTTCAAACAATAAATTTTTTAGTTGGAAATAACGAAAAAGTATGGTTACCCATTCGAAATTCATCAATTAACATCACAAGATGGTTACATAATCGAATTACATAGAATCCCCCATGGAAAATCAAACGATAATAAAAAAAGATCTGCAATTTTATTAACACCAGGATTGGATATGGGCTCAGTACATTACGTGTTAACCGGAAATATAAGTTTGGGATTTACTTTATCAAACGCTGGTTACGATGTTTGGATTTATTGCACAAGGGGGACAAGATCATCTAGAAAACACGTTTATTTAAACCCTGATGATGAAGAATTTTGGAAATTTAGGTAAATTTTATTACAACTTTTTACCATAACTTAATTGATGAATTAATTAAGTTTTCACGAAGTTGGATTTTACGATTACCCACTTTGTATCGATTACATAATAAATGTAACCCACCAACCAAAAATATTTTTCATCGGGTATTCCCAAGGATCGACATCTTTCGGGGTATTTTTATCCGAAAGGCCGGAATACAACGATAAAATAAGATTAGCGATTTTATTGGCTTCAACGATGTACACCAAACATAATAAACACCCTGTATGGATGCATTTATCCAAAAACTACAATACAATAAAAGTAATTATTAAAAAATTATTAAATAAATCAAATTAAGAAAAACAAAACATTTAATTCTTTTAGAGTCTCTTTAAAATGCTGGATATTTATGAATTCCCCGCTGGAAAATTTCGCAGCGAATATTGCAATATGATGAAATTAATTTGTTTACAACTAGTTTATTTAATTGCAGGATACAGCACGCAAATGGACCCTGTAATTATTTAATTACTTAATTTCGAATTAATTTAATAATTTATTTTAGGATTTTATTCCAGTTTTAATGAATAATTTATCAGGTGGACTTTCAATGCAAATGCTGGAACATTATGCCCAAATGTTTGATCGAAGTTAAATTCACAATTTTAACTTTAATTCCTATTTTTTATTATTCATTTTTTAGGAGCCTTTCAAAAATTCGATTATGGTAAATCCGAAAATTTAAAGATTTATGATTCTGAAGTTCCACCCGATTATAATATATCGAAAATATCAGCTCCAGTTGCTTTATTTTGTGGAAGAAATGATCCTTTAGTAACTTGTGAAGTAAGAATGATTAAAAATAAAAACGATATAGTTTTTATTTAATTTTTTTAAAGGATACAACCGATATAGCCAAAAATCTACCAAATTTGGTTTTAAAATATGTTGTTCCTGATGAAATGTGGTCCCATTCTGATTTTACATATGGAAGAGAAGCTCCGGACTTGGTTTATAAAGTTTTAGTTCAACTTCTAAATCAACATTAAATTTTTTTTATAAATATTATAATTAATTTTTGCTATTAAGTTAATTAGAAATAAATTATTAGGGTTTATCGATATTAAAATATAATAAAATCGATTCTTACTGCCTCCACCAAGAGACTTCCCTCTTACCATGTTCATTTCACTTTCCTTTTAGGATGTAATTTTGAGTCAACTCGCTTCGTTACTTATCATTTTGCTGAATATAGTATCGGACGAAGGTCTACTTTCGTTATTAGCTCATCTGCCTCAAGTTTAATCACAGTTTCTAGTCTTATCGTGTCTTCTAGTCTTTTTTCAGTGGTTTCCTTTCTTCTTTAAGCAGTGTGTAGTCTTCTTCAAGCAGTATTTAGTGGTCTACTAGCACAGGCAATATCTACTTTTTTCCAGCAGTACATAGTCTCCTTCAAGCAGAATGTAGTCTTCTGCAAGCAAGATTCACTGATCTCCATGCAGTATCTAGTCTTATACAACCAGTATCTATTCTTTTGCCCGGTTGCTTTATTTTGTGGATGAAATGATCCTTTTGTAACTTGAGAATTAAGAAAGATTAAAAATAAAAAAGATATTGTTTTTATTTAATTTTTTTAAAGGATACAAGCACATCGCTTGAGATGAAGTATTTAGTGGTCTACTAGCATAGGTAATATCTACTTTTTTCCAGCAATATATAGTCTTTTACAAACAACGTTTAATGTTCTCCATGCATTATCTAGTCTTATACAGCCAGTATCTATTCTTATGCCAGCAGTATCTAGTCTTCTGTCAGCAAATTTAGTTTTCTGACAGCAGTATTTTTTTTTCCGCAGAGTCTCCCCGATCTTTCGACGCTGAAGAAGGAGAGGGCATGCAACACACGCAGCACTTAGGCCCCAACGGTCCCCTTGTATATTTCCGGTTATATCGACCAGCCTAAGGAGTTACCAAAGGCTAAGATACAGCTCAAAGGTGTGTGTCTGACGCCATCTGTAGTAGGCCATTCTTCCCCGAATACTCTTAATCTGAGGTCCTTCAGGGCAGAACAGTCACACAAGATATGATAAACCGTCTCGTCGTCTTGTTCACAACCTCAACAGAGAGGGCTGTCAATACACTTTGTGTTATAAAGGTGTTTATTTATCTTACAGTGACCTGTAACAAATCCCGTAATAACCCATAAGGCGCTTTTACCCAGCCTTACAAATTTTTGTGCTGCGTCAGCTGAGGGATAAAATAATAACCTTTTAGCTAACTGGCACCCTTTAACTCTATCCCACCAGTCAAAGAACTTTTTGCAGGTTTTGATTAATTCAATATGAGATACCATAGAAGGGATAACTGTCGGCAAGGGGGAACAGGGCACTTTCCCAGCAGCCCTTTTTGTCAGCCTATCGGCGTGCTTATTCCCCGAGTGAGTCGAGTGTCCCTTTATCCACTGCAGTGTTTAGTGTTGCCGCCTCTTCAAGCGTCAAATGACAATCTATAATCAGGGCAGAGGTAAATTTATCCTTGCTTAGAGTTAAAACAAATTGTCTACTGCCGGTAAAGATTGTAAAGGTCTTAATACTGCAATTGAAGCTAATAATGTACTCAGCAGCAAATTTTATAGCGACTAATTCCGTCTGCTTAACGGTGATGCCCTCTCCAAGCAATGTGAGGAGACGGAACCATAAATCATTAGAAAAGACTCCCGCTCCTGCACCAGTCCGTCTATAAGAACCATCAGTGTAGATTTTAAGGTAGTTATTTCTATCTACTTCTGTGGAACTACAATAGATAAGGTATTTCCTTGAAAATGTGAATTTAGCCGGTATATAGTCCGTGCAGCATTCCAATTTGTTCCAAGCGTTGCACTTCCTCCGGTTTCTTCCTCTTCTTTGAAAAGTCCTACTTCCCGTAGTCGCAACATGGTAATCAGCGCCACCTCCTGAATATATAAATGTAGAGGTGACAAGTTTAACATGTTTTCCATGGCCGCAGTGGGGGTCGTCTTCATGGCACCTGTAACATATATACACGCAAGTCTCTGTATTCTATTTAGTGCGGTAGTGGCGGTAAGGATTTAGCCCACCATATTACTGCAACATAAGTGAGCATAGGTCGTATCACAGCCGTGTAGATCCAGAGGGCAGATTTGGATGAGAAACCCCATGTCTTCTAAATCGCCTTTTGGCACTGGCCAAATGCGACACTAGTTTTCTTTACTCTATTATCTAGGTGTGATTTCCACGATAGTTTGCTATCCAGAGTGATACCCAGATATTTAACCTCTTTAGAGAAACTCAATGGGCATTTAGCGAACAAGGGCAATCGAAAATTACCAATTTTCCGCTACAATTTCGCCTTTCGCACCATTTCTCGACTATATTGAGAGCCTCTCATCCTGTCAAATAACACCACCACATGTATTCCCCTGGGAGCTCTCTATCCAGCCACAGAGGCTACAAGGAATATTGTGCTCAGCCTCGTTAATACCAACGAAGCTGGTCACACTGAAGAGCTGTCAATGTGGACTTGCCTTGGGTTGATTAGAATCTAAAGGTCTATCGACAAGACAGACATCCCTTATGTAACGATCCCACAGTCTCTCTAAGGTTTTTAATAAAAACGAGGAATGGCTGATTGGTCTAAAAGACTTCGGAAGGAAGTAGTTTTGCTTACCCGATTTAGGTATGAAGTCCAAAAACCTCACGCTAACAATTGGGAATGTAGCGAAGCGCCATGCATCCCTGTAAGATGTTCCTTAGGTGAGGTATCAATTCCTCCAATCTCCACTGCAGCAGGGCGGGTACGATACCATTAGGTTCAGGAGCTTTGAAAGGTAAAAACCTGTTTATTGCCCACCTCATTTTATCCTGCGTGCAGATCTTCTCAGCTAACAGCCAGTCATCTGCAGTCGGTCTCACCATTAGCTACTATAGAGTCTACCGAGCCTGAAAAATGCGCATTCATTAGAAGCCCAACCCAACCGTCATCCTTCTTTAATAAACCTATTCGCCGGTCCGGGTTTGAAGCCAGAACCCTTTTAAGACAAGAGAGTTCGTTTCTAGAGGTGACTTCTTCTCAGAATCTCCTCCACACCCCTCTCTTCTTTCGACGAACACTTTTTTTTAAACTCCAATAGTTTGCCTTTATAGCAGTTCCATTCGGAATCTAATCTCGAGCTTTTGGCATTATTGAAGGCTTTATCGCTGAGCTCAGTGCACCACCACAGAGTGGCACGTCCTGAATCAGCTTCCAGACGGAGTGGACAAGCCTTTTTATACGCAATTGTCAGGAAATCTGTCAAGACCATCGATCGTTCCTTAACATCCCTACTCAAACACCCTGATAACATCGACTTGAACTTGTTCACATCAGTGTTCCTGGGGTTTCGCTTCAGGTTTTTCCCGATCTTTTTTATACCTAGATTAAAAGTGATCCACCTGTGGTCTGACATTTAAACCAAGTCAGAGACTGTCCAGTTTTGGACTTTATGAGAAATACTCATCGAGGCCAAGGTAATATTTTGCCTTTATTTATAAGTACTAGTTTTTGTACTTTCCAAGATTTAGAGAATAGGGGGTATTTTTTTTTTAGCTTTTAGGGCTAGCATTATCTTAGCACATAGTCTTCTGTGAGCAGTATTTTGTATTGTACAAGCAGAATTTAATCTACTACAAGCAGTTAAGTAATTTTCTGCAAGTAATATCTACTTTTCTGCTGGAAGTGTAAAATGAAGTCCAATTTCTTCAAAGATTTTTATCCAAATTGCTGTTACATCTTTCGAGGAAGCCCGACTATGATAAGTGAAGTTCAGAAAAAGTCAAAACTTCCTTTTCTCCAAATAGCGTCAAGTATTTCGCTCCCACTGGCAATATCTACTTCATTGCCAGCAAAATCTAGCCTTCTTCCAGCAAAATGTAATCTTCTGTCAGCAGTATTTAGACTAATTCAAGCAGTATCTACTATTCTGCATGCAGATTTAGATTCTTATAGGCAATTTCCACTTTCTGCAAGCAGTATTTAGTCTCCTATTGGCAGATCTATTAAGCTTTCGAGTTTAATTTTTTAAATTCACATTAAATAGAAAACACTAGAAAATTTTTTACTTGGTACAAATTAGTAGTAATTAAAAAACAATTATGATAATTATTCTAACCTTCCTTCTTCTAGATCAACTTGTTATCGTAATTCCCTTGAAGATAGTTTCTTTTAATTAATTGTAATTTATATTGACACTTTTCATGTTTTTATAAAAATACCTTTTCTTCTTATTCCAGTTTAAATTTAATGAACATTGACGTCATTTGCGTTTACGCAATTTAATTTGATGTATCATTTTATGAACCAGTTTTCAGTATGATGGGTCGCTACAGATTCGTTTTATCGATTTTTCTACTAAAAATTATAACCGGTGATTGTTATAAAATTGATAATAAAACTTTACAAGACCTACAAAGTAATGAAGGTTTAAATATAGTAAGTGTTATTTTTAATTATAACTCAATTTAGAAAAAATCTGATTTACTTACAATTAGTTCGAATTAGCAAAGAAATACGGTTATGTAATAGAACGACATCACGTGACTACAGAAGATGGGTACACACTCGAACTTCATCGAATTCCTTACGGAATTAATAGCACGGATCGTTCAAATAGGCCCCCAATTCTAATAGCTCATGGAACTGGAGGAACATCAGTTGAATTTTTAACGATGGGTGAAAAAAGTATAGCGAGTCGATTAGTTGAAGCCGGTTATGATATTTGGATAGGAAATGCACGAGGGACGAAATGGTCTTTGAAACATAAATTTTTAAATCGCCGATCAAAACAATTTTGGATGTTTAGTTGGCACGAAATCGGAATATACGATTACACCGCCGAAATTTATTACGTTTCAAACGTTACAGGTCACGATAAAATTTTCTTTTTGGGCCATTCCCAAGGCGGCACAGCATTTTTTGTTATGGCATCTGAGCGACCGGAAATGAATAAAAAACTTCGTTTGGCTTTATTAATCGGACCTACAGCTTACTCAAAACACAATACTAATCCGGTGGTTAAGGCTGGTGCAGAAATTGTTAAATATTTTGAAGGGCTCGCAGATTATCTTCATTTATATGAACTTCCAACCGGACCTGTTATGACTCAATTCTTACAGACACTTTGTAAAAGTCCGTTTAAATTTATTTGTTTAATTTATGTTCATGTTACTGTGGGGTATGATATTAACCAGATTGATCCGGTTAGTTTAAAATGAGAATAAATTTAAGGGATTAATTTTTATTGTTTCTAGAGGATTCTGCCCACACTTTTAACTAATTTACCTGGAGGTTTATCAATTAGACAAATGCTTCATTATGGTCAAATGTTTCGAGAAGGTTGTTGCAAAATTATAACATTAAAATTTAATTCTTTTTATAACATTTTTAGAGAGATTTCAGCAATATGATTATGGCCCTGAGGAAAATTTAAAACGTTATGGATCCACAAAACCACCTTTATACAACATAACTAAAATTACAGCTCCTGTTGGGTTAATTTATGGAAGCACAGATGCCTTCGTTGATCCTCAAGTTTGTTATTATTAAAACAAAACTTACTTATTTTAATTTCATCTTTTTAGGATGCAACTGATCTTTGTAATGATTTGCCGAATTGCGTTTTAAACTGCTTTCTTAAAGAAGGCGATATGTTTAATCATTTTGCTTATGTTGTTGGAAAAGATGCAGATAAATTAGTTAATGATAAACTTATTGAAATGTACAATAAGTTTTAAATTAAATTAAATTAAGTGGACAACTTTAATTAAGCAGTTTTGTATTCATAATTTTTATCCTATTTTATCCATAATTTACTCAAAACGGCTAAATCCAAATGTTCTAGTTCTAGAGTTAGTTTTAAAACTAAAACTAGAACTAACACTAGACCTAGAATTAGAAACGTTCGGGTTTAGCCGAACGACTTTAAAGACGGCTAAATCCGAATGTTTCTAGTTCTAGGTCTAGTGTTAGTTTTAAAACAAAACTAGAACTAACACTAGACCTAGAACTAGAAACATTCATTTTTAAAGACGGCTAAACCAGAACGTTTCTAGTTCTAGGTCTAGTGTTAGTTTTAAAACAAAACTAGAACTAACACTAGACTTAGAACTAGAAACATTCGGGTTTAGCCGAACGACTTGAGAGACGTGCGGCTAAACCCGAACGTTTCTAGTTCTAGGTCTAGTGTTAGTTTTAAAACTACCACAAAACTACTACAGAAAGTTTCGTGTTTAGCCGTGCGTCTTCAGACATCTTCTTAGCACATAGTCTTAATCTAATCTACTACAAGCAGTTAAGCAGTCTTCTGCAAGTATTATCTACTTTTCTGCTAGAAGTATAAAATGAAGTCCAGCTTCTTCAAAGATTTTCATCCAAATTGCTATTATATCTTTCGATGAAACCCGATTATGATAAGTGAAGTTCAGAAAACGTCAAAACTTCCTCTTCTCCAAATAGCGTCTAATATTTCGCTCGCACTAACAATATCTACTCTATTGCTAGCAAAATCTAGCTTTCTTCCAACAATATTTAGTCTTCTGTCAGCAGTCTTTAGTCTCCTTTATGCAGTATCTAGTGTTCTGAACGCAGATTTAGTTTCCTATAGGCAATTTCCATTTTCTGCAAGCAGTATTTAGCCTCCTATTGACAGATTATTAAGTTTTCGAGTTTAATTTTTTAAATTCTTTTAATTTAGTTAAAATACCCAATTCGTTGTAGAAAATACTAGAAAATTTTAGAACTAAAAACGTTCGGGTTTAGCCGTCTTTAAAGATGCTTGGCTAATGTTTATATCTACTCTATTTCCAGCAAAATCTAACCTTTTCCCACAATATTTAGTCTTCTGTCAGCAGTATTTAGTCTCCTTCATGCAGTATCTAGTGTTCTGCATGCAGATTTAGTTCCTATAGCCAATTTCTATTTTCTGCAAGCATTATTTAGTCTCCTATTGGCAGATCTATTAAGTTTTCGAGTTTAATTTTTTAAATTCTTTTAATTTAGTTAAAATACCAATTAATTGTGGAAAATTTTAGAACTAAAAACGTTCGGGTTTAGCCGTCTTTAAAGATGCTTGGCTAAACACGAATGTTTCTAGTTCTAGGTCTAGTGTTAGTTCTAGTTTTGTTTTAAAACTAACACTAGACCTAGAACTAGAAACGTTCGGGTTTAGCCGGCTTTAAAGACGTTCGGCTAAACCCGAATGTTTCTAATTCTAGGCCTAGTGTTAGTTCTAGTTTTAGTTTTAAAACTAACACTAGACCAAGAACTAGAAACGTTCGGGTTTAGCCGTCTTTAAAGACGTTCGGCTAAACCCGAATGTTTCTAGTTCTAGGTCTAGTGAATGTTTCTAGGTCTAGGTCTAGTGAAGACGTTCGGCTAAACCCGAATGTTTCTAGTTCTAGGTCTAGTGTTAGTTCCGGGTCTAGTGTTAGTTCTAGTTTTGTTTTAAAACTAACTCTAGACCTAGAACTAGAAACATTCGGGTTTAGCCGTCTTTAAAGACGCACGGCTAAACACGAAACTTTCTAGTTCTAGGTCTAGTGTTAGTTCTAGTTTTAGTTTTAAAACTATCACTAGATCTAGAATTAGAAACGTTCAGGTTTAGCCGTCTTTAAAGACGTTCGGCTAAACCCGAATCATTCTAGTTCTAAGTCTAATGTTGATTCTAGTTTTAGTTTAATAAACATATACAACAATAAAAAAGATGGTGCCAGTACAAAATTAGAAATTTAAATACCGCAAACTGATACTCCGCGCTCATTTATTAAAAAGTTAACATGACGTGAAAATTGCAATCAATTTAATTACACCAATCTAATTAGTAAGTTGTTAAATAAAAAGTAAAATGTGTGTAACTAATCATTCGTTTATAAACAACTCCATAGATTACTCAATTTAAGTGATTTAAAAAAAATGTTTAACAAAAATGATTTCTTTTTAAAATGTTTAATTTTCTTTGTTTCATTTGAAATAATTGCGGGAACGAATCGTTTTGAATTTGATAACGAAACTTATCAAGATTTTTTATCAGCCGAGGGATTAAATGTGGTAAGTTTAATTTATATTATTTTTTTGGTACTATATTTTTTAATTTTTAGTTTGAATTGGCAAAGAAATATGGTTATCCTTTAGAAAGACACAATTTATACACCGAGGATGGTTATTTAATTGAAATGCATCGAATTCCATATGGGATAAAAAGTACGAATCGATCGAATAGACCTCCTGTTTTAATCGCCCATGGAAGTGGTGGAACTTCGGCGGAATTTATAATGATGGGTGAACGAAGTATTGGTTGTAAATTAGTTAATGCTGGATATGATGTTTGGATGGGAAACGCAAGAGGAAGCATGTGGTCCTTAAAACATAAGAAATATAATCGTCGTTCGAAACAATTTTGGCAATTTAGTTTCCACGAAATAGCAATTTATGATTATACAGCTGAAATCGATTATATAACTAATATAACAGGGCATTACAAAATGTTTTTTTTGGGACATTCTCAAGGATCGACCGGGTTTTTTATATTGGCTGCTGAACGACCGGATTATAACGAAAGAATTCGATTGGCGATTTTAATGGGACCTACTGCATACACAAAACATAACACAAATCCAGTGGTTCTATCAGCTGCCGATAACATAGAATATATTCAAGCAATATTGGAGTATATGCATTTATATGATCTCCCAAGTTCACGATTTTTGTCTTCATTTTTGAGAACTATGTGTAGTAGTCCGCTTCGATATTTATGTAGTGCTTATCTTATTCTAGCGATGGGATATGATATGGAACATATAGATCAAAGATTACTTTCTGCAGCGATTAGTAATTTACCTGGTGGGGTATCATTTCAAATATTAACACATTATGGACAAATATATAAATCGAGTAAAATAAAGAACATGAATAATAAATTTAATAATTTAGTTAAATCTTTTTAGGGCGATTTCAAAAATTTGATTTTGGTCCAAAAGAAAATTTAAAACGATACGGTTTTGAACAACCTCCTTTATACAACATCAGCAAAATAACATCTCCGGTTGTATTGATGCATGGCAAAACGGATATGTTTGCTGATCCAAAGGTAAGTAATTTAATTTATATTAACTGTTAAGGTTAATTTTTTTGAAACAATTTTAGGATGTTCACGAATTTTGCATGGATTTACCAAATTGCGTCTTAGATTATTTTATTAATGAAACGACGTACAGTCATATTTCGTATCTTGTGGGAAAGGATGCTGATAGAATTGTTAATAATTTTGTAATCGAAATGTACAATAAATTCTAATAATTGTTTTAATATTATGATTTAAAATAAAATATATTTACTATGTTTTGTAAAACAAATTTATGATTGTTCTCTCAAATGTCCCATCAATGAAAGACATTCGCATAACGACAGTACAAATTTTTTGATCGAAATGCTTTTGATGACAATGAACCAGTAATACATGATAAACGATGATGCTCATTTTTGTTGGATGATATAGTCTGTCATAATAGAAGTTTGTGCAACTGATATCGAATTGAGTGAGAATGTGATACAAAACATTGAAGAACAGCTACATCCTTATATATATACATATACTTCTTCATTAGTGAAGGTAGTATGTTAGAGGCTTCCATAGCATTTGCAAATGCAGCAAAAGAACTGGGTCTAAATATAAATGTTAAGAAAACTAAATATATACAAATGGGAATAAAAGCAGAGAGAAGACTACCACAACATTTAAAAATTGATGGCTATAATATTGAGTGTGTTGATAGTTTTGTATACCTGGATCATCAGTAACAAGGAAAAATAACACAAGTACAGAAATAAAAAGAAGAATTTATCTGGGCAACAAAACCTATTTTGAGCGTATGCACTTCAAATCAAACATATTAACCAAGGAAATTAAAAGCTAATTTTATAATACACTCATTAGACCAGTGATAATGATAATGGTTCGGAGACCTGAGTAATGACACAAGCTGATGAAAGATTGTTGGGAACGTTTGAAAAGAAGATACTTAGACACATACATATATGGAGGAATCCAGAAACAACCAACCGGATACAGTGACAACTATAAAAATTGGAAGACTGAGATGAATAGCACATGTGGAACGCATGAAGGAGGTGGAACCAACAAAACAAATAGTTAGACAAACACCGGTAGAACAGAGATTGAGAAGAAGGCCAAAGACGAAATATATAGACCAGGTGGAGGGGGATGTGAGGACACTCAAAGTGAGAAATTGGAGAGAGGTGGCGCGTAATAGGAAGGAATGGAAGAAAATTCTTAAGCAGATTAAGACCCTTCCAGGGTTGTAGAACTAATGATGGTGATGATATATATATATATATCCGTTGGCACCATATCTCTTGGCGTTTCTCCGTTGCAAAGTGTGACACATCAGAGAATTTTCTGTTTTTTCAAATAACGAAATGTCATGAACCTGGATCAAGCTAAAAAGAAACAAGAAGATATTTTAAGTCTTTATGTGAGCTGTGCAAAATTGTGCTAATTTTTGAATTGGAACTCAATTGAAAAGTTATACTGTTAAAAACATTTATGTCAAGTAATACTGACTTATTTTAAGTTGTGTCAGCACCTTTAGCGGAGGGTTATATATATATATATA